AGTGGAGTGAGTGGAGTGAGTGAGTGAGTGAGCGAGTGAGTCAGTGACTGAGTGAGTGAGTGACTGAGTCTCTGGAGACTGCTGGGAGTGTGAGTGTGCAGTGAGTGAGTGAGTGAGTGAGTGACTGAGTCTCTGGAGACTGCTGGGAGTGTGAGTGTGCAGTGAGTGAGTGAGTGAGTGAGTGAGTGAGTGCGTGCGTGCGTGCGTGCGTGCGTGCGTGCGTGAGTGAGTGAGTGAGTGAGTGAGTGACTGAGGAGGGGGCGAGGAGGACGGAAGGAAGGAAGGAAGGAAGGAAGGACCGGCGGATGCGGGCGGGATGCCAGCCAACAAAACTAGAACCCCACACAGAGATGTGGGGAATAAAAAGGAAAAATTCCTTCAGAATGTCCGTAACGCCCTTTTCAGGGAAAAGTCATTTGACTCCATCCCACATCCGAATAATTAGTTTAAATTAGGTTGATCCAGAGTATGCATGTACATTAATTCTTGATAAGCTCGCCGGCCTTATGTACATGTGGTCATTGCAATTGTGCCACTCGCTTTTGTTCGTAGCTTCTTCTCTGTATAGTGGTTGGTCCTAGCTTGTTCTGTACATTTTGCTATCTGAGCTTTTCACCCACTCCACTCATACCCGCCGTAAGACACGGCAAGGGGTGATGTGGAAGCGCCCATGGACCGCAAGTGAGTGCATCCAAAGGGGGGGAATCATTCATCAAGATTCGTCAGGGTTTTCAACATGGCGTAACGAACCCTCTCGTGAAGGGCCGCGTGGATTTTGGCGCCTTCTCCGCCCCCCGGTGGGCCTCAATCTCCTTGGTGGCACCCTCCATCCGAGCCCTTACGTGCGACATGTGACGAATCTCGTGCGCCGCGCATGTTGCAGATGCCAATTCTTCAACACTTCCAGGAGGGCCCCCAGGAAATGGCCAACAAGGCATAAAGATATGGCAGATCCTGTATGGGGTCTTTTCAGGTCCTTGGCTACTTCAGTTACCAGCTTGTCACAAGAGGCACCACATATCACCACATAATAAATAGCACGTTCCGTGTGTGCCAAACTGAACACGGCCCCGGTTTTGCGCATGGGCCAGTCTTTGTTTTACAACCTGAGTCAAAGCAAAAATCCAAGATCCATACGCCATGCCCATGTTCAGACTTCATAACATCAAATCCACTCACGTCGAGCCAATGGAAATGAAAGGGTTTGTCGTCCACGCTCCACCTTCCGTCCGCCGTCCAAGGCAACCGGCTCCATGGACTTCTGGATCTGTCCGAGGACCTTTTCCATGGGCTTCCTCGTAGGCAGGTGTCCGCAGGTGTGTATAGAGGTGTCTGCACCACGGATCGACGGTTTGGAGACGCGACCGCGACCTGACCCGCAAAGGTGAAACGGATCGACCGGTCGATCACGGACGGAATCGTCCGCTTCGGTCAAGATCTATCCAAGAGTCGACCCACGGAATCTGGGGTCGAAACCATCGCACACCTTCTGGTTTTCAGCTTTGAATCCACCTCTGTGGTCCCATGTGACATGGCTGTGTGGGGGTTGATGGTCATAGGAATGTCCGATTCAAAGATTCCTCTCTCAACCTGAGTCACATCTGCCATGTACTCCCATTACTGGCCTTGCATCGCCCTCTGTTTGAGCCAATCGCAACTGTAGAGTTGCCATATCCTGGCCCAGGTCTGCCAGTGAAGATCGAATTCTACTATATAATTCTAACACGATTTGACTTGATTGATTTCTATCAAGAAATCATAAGAAATCCCACCTCGTCAGTGCTAATTGATGTGGCTGTGTATATATGGCGAACTATCGAAGTGTTATGAAGTATTATAGACGTTTGAGGTGCCATAATTTTACTTGTGGCCCAGGGGGGGGGCGGCGAAAGCTAGGGAGGGACAAGTGGTTGGGGAAGGAGAGAAGGAAAGAAGCGGGAAGAATTGCGTTGCAGGTGCGATCTTTTCGGCAACCTAGTAGGCGCACCTCGATTCCTGACCAAGTGTCACCTCAAGAGAACCAAACCACGCCTCACCTGAGGGTGTCTATTCGTTGCGTTGCACCAAGTGCAGCAACCCTGAACCGCATGAATGGCATCAACCGTACCATGACACGAGTTGGGGCAGCGTGACAATAATATAGTTAATATAGGATGCACAAAGGGAAAACTCAACTACTGCCATGCTTCCACCAAACATCACCAAACTCTTCATCACCCGCTTCCCCCCACCGAACTCTTCGCTCATGCCCCAACACGTCAGCAGCAACCAGCAAGCAGCCAAAGGCAATCAGCAGCACCAAGCATGCAAGCAGCAAGAGACCAAGCAGCAGCAGGTACTGAGGAGAAGGGTGGAGTTGAACCCGCGGGGGGGGGGTAAAGCCTGATAAATCAGGTATCTGCACTCAGGTCCTCGGCTCCCACCCTCCTTGCTATCAGGTATCTACAGCTAGCTTTCGTGATCTGATGTAACACATGTATAACTGTCTAGCCAAGCCAAGTGCCCCGTGATCCCTCCACTTTGTTGGACGTTTGATGAGGGTTCTGTCTGTAGCATCTGAGGGTTCTGTCTAAGTTGTGCATTTGGCCCACACTCTCTTAAAATCAGACTTCTCGAATCCCCCGCACAACCTTTCCTTTGGCCTTTCTAGAATCCCTGCACTGCCCCACCCGCCATGGCCGACACGGGAAAACCAGCCGTGCCTGGGGCGATATCTGCCCAAACTGGGTGTCCACCTGCTTCCAAAAAAGAGGTGCTGTGTGGCGGTGCTACAGAGCCCAGCCACGTGTGAGGTCGACTTTCTCTGAGAGTGTGTGTGCTGCTGAACGGAATTCGGTGTTGCATTCAAGAGGGGGAGGCCTATTCTATCGTCAAGCCACTGGTTAGTGGCTTTGGGGTCGCCCCGCTGTGCTATACGCACACATGTCATGTTACTATACCAATTGTTACGCAGTCTTGCCGCTTGGGGTCATGTGTAAGCGAACCTTTCTGCGACAGCAAGCTCGCACCAAGCAACTGACTTGCTTCCAGGAGCAGTACACGTGGGCCTTTTGAGGTGACCATGGGTGATCTGACTTGTCCACGTGGCTGATATGCGTCGGCTTTCCCACCTTTTTCCATCTCTTCTTGGGTAAATCCTGTCCAAATGGTTTCATGCCGGGTCAGCTCACGGAATGCCATTGTAAAGTACGAGGATGGCGGCAAAATGCAGGACCTTGGCATGGCCGGGTCTAAGGCCTTTGAGGCCACAGTGACCATATAAGAGTCTGATCAAGTGGCCAACATGTTCGCGTGATTGTCACACAGGGCCAAGGGCTCAATCATGCTTGCATCACAAATGCTGTGCTGATCTTCTTTCTTACACATTCGTGTGTATACATATGTGTGAGGTTGAGTCCTGCACATCTACGCTTCTGTGATGAGTCGTTTCCCGAAACCCATCTTTCATTGCAAAGAGGCATCATCAGCACGCCACGATCGCAAAGACCTTCCATGTGCCTGAACATGTCTGCGTCGGACAAACGCAAACGAAGAATTAAGGCAGGTGCTGGCAAGACTGGCAGGACCTTTGTTTGGCTGGGATCATCTTCTTCATCCCTCTCTTGGGATCTGCTGCCATAAAATCCAACTCCTTGGCAGGTGTTCTTCACCCCTCCGGTGGCCCATAGAACGCCCGCCAAATCCCCATGCACCAAAACCCCAATCGTGCGAAGACCTCTCCCCAGCACTCAGCATCTCCCCAGCACGAGGGGAGATTCTGTATGAAGTGACCCTTTGCACAAAACAGGCCAAGAAATGGCGGACACTCGACTTTTGCCTCAAAGTCTCCTCGTCCTGCTCCACGTAGCCTGAAGCTGATGATTGGAATGAACTTCCTTTCTTCTTTCAACACTACCAATGTCTTTACTCCTGGAGAAGCTGCCAACATGTTGCTCACACGACCCCCGATACACACACAGTTACGAGACCTCTTAGAGGTGAATATGGAAGGACCGCGGCCTCCGGTACTGGTTCCGGTGGTTGTCCAAAGCCCTAGGCGTTCTGCCTTTACGGGCCCCACCAAGAAGACCGGTAGAAAGCAATGGCAAAGGAAAAAGCGGAAACAGTGGCCAGCAACTCTGGACTCTAGCGACTCTAGCCCCTGGGCCCCGCCGCAAGAATGCCCTTCCGACCTGACCAACAATTTCCACTGGCTCTTTGGTTCAGCTGGCCTGATTTGGATCCTGTTCCCCATTCTACATGGATCGCTCCATCACGCTGGGACCAACAAACCCGCTCCGCGGCGCTCGCGCGCCGCGCGCCTCGCCGTCGATCCCGGTCGGTCCACAGCAAGCGCCCGCGGCGCCGCTGCAGTGCCAAGGCCTCCGAAGCGTCAAGGAGTTGCCAGGTGAGGTCTTGAAGCCGCGCCTCGGTCACCAGCTGAAGGAAGGGACTGAGGAAGCACTCCGAAGTGTTTCCCGGGCGGATCGGTGTGGTACTTGGGACCTGCGAGGTCCAAATGCACTCCTCTTGCTCCGTTCGTAGTAAGGCCAGGAGCTACGTTCGTAGCGTCCGGACGCTACTAGGTGTCATTGCCCTTGGCTCCTTGCAGTCTCAGGGTTCAGACCTCTCAGGGTTCTTTGATCCTTCCTGCCTGGACGAAACGAGCCAGCTCTGGGAACTGGGAATGGCTGGAATGACGCAACATATTACATCATATCGCATCATATATAGGTTGATGAGTGGCACATGAGTCATATAAGGCTTAAAGTTCTTCAGGGTCAGGGTCCATGTCCGTAGGCAACCTGCGCCTTGCCACCAATTAGCGGTGCTTCTCTTGAAGTCACTCACCGCTCCGCTCAGCCGCCGGAGCGGGCGTCCCTGCGAGCCAGATTTTCCGCTCAAAGGCCACAGGTCCAGGTGAGCCCAGTCAGCAGTCAGTTCGACTCCAACCATCTGTACTGACTAGAAGATGTGGTGGGGTGCCCCCAATCTGGAGTGCCACCCCATCATCCGAGCATTCTCGGGGCTTCACTGGACCAAGGCCTCATCCACTCGAGCCTGGGGCGAGTAATGCGATTATAGACAGCTCCGGGAGGCAGAAAGTAAAGCAAAAGAACACAAAGCAAAGCGATCCAATCAAAATGATCAGAATATGGGTCCGCTGAAGGGATCTGTTTCAGGGATGCGCCCATCCAAAAAACGAAGAGCAAAAGTGCCGCCCAAAGCACGCAGGAGCGCCCATCCAAGCCGGGTCCCTCATAGGGCAGTGCAATGGGCTTCACTTGCGAGCGGCGGAGGATCCTCAACAAGTGGCCCAAGGAAGCAAACAACGAACTGATAATGTCCAAAACCTCTCTTCACATTGTTTGTTGGGAAGTACTGAACCCCGCTGCTCAACTAAGCGGGTCAACCCGATGCTCATGAGGGTATGTAGCGCTTGAAGGGCCCAGGATTGGGCCCACCAATTCAATTGCACAGGTTGCACATAAAAAGGTGCCAATGAAATGTTGCTTTTCGTATGAGCTGTGTCACAGTAGCTATAATGGCTTGACTTGTGCTCACATGATGACTCAATGAATGCATGCATGCATGCATGGCATGGCATGGCATGTACGTACGGTATTTATGTATATAGGGTATGTATATGTATGGTATGCATGTATTGTATAGTATGACAATTATGGTATGGTTTGGGTCTATCCTATTACAGTATATACCAGTAACCGTGGATGATGATGGTTAGTACAAGGCCTTGTTCAAATTAGTGATAATTAGTTACTGACTCTTGCAGGGAATACGACAGACCCTAGGTATGGTATGGTATGATACGGATATATGCATGACTATGCATGGATAAACGTATGGATGTATAAATGTATGGATGTATTCACGTGTGAGATAGAGACAGAGATAGAGAGAGGGAGAGACAAAGGTAAAGAGAGCCTAGCATCCTGTCTCAGGAGAGCCTTGCGTCGACCACAGGTGTTCTTCGCTTTTTCAGCACATTGGATCACCGGGCACCAGTAGTACCAGTGTCCAAAGGACGAGGAGAGGTGTTGCCAAACCGCTGAACTTCTCCAAATTCATTCCTGGGGATCGGTAACGTTTGGTATCAAAACGATTTTGAGGCTGCCCGGTCTATCATCGCACTTCATGTTGTGTCTGGCTGCTGGGACAGGCCGATCATACTCCTATTTGCTCTTAGTTGGTGATCATTTCATATCATTTCCATCCCCCCCAAACACATCCCACCCATGTCATGAATGGCATGGCAACACTTGGCACAAAAACTGAAATTCGATGGCCCACGATCCTCTGGGCCAGGCCTTCGACTCGCGAACGAACATGAACTCCACTCCACTCGACCGGCGCCATCCCCCGCCCTCCGAGCGGCCAAGAGGGAATGGGGTCTTCACCTGCGTGCCGCGGACCCGCCCCGCCGAAGTCTGGTGAAGAACCGGTTCGGAGAGAGTGCTTTCCGACTCGTGGGAGGGCTTTCTGACTGGACCCTAGAAGTCCAGTTCGACTATATTTTGACTGACTGAAGTAAAGGACATTCCTTTTCGTGCCACCTAAAAACCATTCTTGTTTTTGTCTTTGACTCCCAGGGTGGATGTCATCACAGACATCAAGTCTGTCTACGAGTCTGTCCGTTCGATGACTGCGTGCGCTTGTGCGAGGAAAAAAGAACTCTAGCGTTCCCATCCCCACGCGTCAGTGTCGACCTCGAAAGATTGAGGGCCAGTTGAGCTGGGTCGTCAACGGCAACAGGGATGGGAATCAAATCTGTGTGGAATTGTTGGTTCCCCTGATCCCTGGTTTTAAGATACTTATATATTAGGTGAATCCAAGACCTACAGTCTGTAAGAGGGTTTCAAGGCTTGTCGGAAATTCGTTTTGGCGGAAATTCGGAAAGTCGGTAATTCGGGTTTCTGAAAAATCTTACTTTTGGCGGAAATTCGGAAATTAACAATTTCTGAATTTCTGACAATTTTACTTGTTCACATCATTTGGCGGAAATTCGGAAATTAAGAATTTCTGAATTACTGAAAAACTATACTTTTATGTATAGTTTGGCGGAAAGTCGGAAATTAACAATTTTCGAATTTCTGAAAAAGCTTTACTTTTTTACATCATTTGGCGGAAATTCGGAAATTAACAATTTCTGAATTTCTGAAAAAAAACTCTTTTTAACATAGTTTGGCGGAAATTCGGAAATTAACAATTTCTGAATTACTGAAAAACTTCAATTTTATGTATAGTTTGGCGGAAAGTCGGAAATTGACAATTTCCGAATGTCTGAAAAACTTTACTTTTTTACATCATTTGGCGGAAATTCGGAAATTAACAATTTCTGAATTTCTGAAAACTTTACTTTTTTACATCGTTTGGCGGAAATTCGGAAATTTATGAAAATAGAACTATAGAACTTTACTTGTTTTAACATCATTGGCGGAAATTGAGCTGGCTGTCAGCCGGTTAGAAGAAGCCGCCATACAAATCTAGATGATACTATGCTTGAGGCTGAGGCTGCTGAAGATTGACTTGCCCCGCGCGCGCTGCATGCCCGGAGCGCGTTCAACAAGTTCAACATTCAGTCAGAACCCTCACAGATTCAAGCGGCTCACTATGTTTGGGCGCTTAGCCCCAAAAGCGCACTATGGTGAAGTGCGCACGGGCTGGAGACAGCAAAGAGCCCGGGTGCCCACGCAGGATACCTTTTCCCTTCGGGTCGCAGTTGTCTTCGCCCTGGCTGGCTGCACAGAGCGCCTTGGCCTTTGCCGCGACGGAATCTGGCTAACAGCTGGAACCTGGCTGACAGCCGGAAAGCCCGTAACGCTCTTGCTACTCAGGCCACTTTTGCCCAAAGCGCCCTGATTCCAATCAAACAACGCGCTTCGAAAGCATCAGCTTGTAAACTGGCCCTAGAAGATGCATTGCAGGGGCTTCGAGGCAATGGCCGATTCCAATAGCATAAACCCTCGGCCTACACCCAAACATACCCATCGTCATCATCATCATCATCATCATCATCTTGTCCTGGCGCTGTTGGGGGCGCTGCCGGAGGTGGAGCCAACAAACGCGCCCTCAAAGCACGTGCTTTCTGGCCTGGCGCCATAGCAATCTGCTGCTCCAAGTTGTCAAAGGTCAGCTCTGGAATAGATGCTGTGCCAAAGAGCCAAGCAGACCGATGGCGCTCTTGGTCAGTCCAGACACTTTCACCAAAGACAGATCGCACAGGGTCAGGCATGAAGAGGAGGTTCCAAACCCTGGCGCCAGCGCAACAACGAAAGCCAAGGAGGCGAAAAAAACGGCCAGGTCCGTCCAGCCGCTCAAAGCGGCCCTGGCCGTCCCAAGCAACATTGTTGCCGCGCGTGATGCGCCGAAAGAGTAGCCGCCCATCATCCAGCACGACCAGCCACTCCCCGAATCTGCTGTTCTGATGGTGTTTCCATTTGAAAAGCAGCATGTGGGTAGCCTGGGCTATGTTTTTGCTTTGGTGCGCCGAGATGAGAGCCAAAACGGGGCTACATGGCGAATTTTGCAACGCAAGTGTAAACTTTCCACTTCTGGCTGGCAGCCGGACGCTTTGTGAACAATGTCGGATTTATTTGGTGAAAACTTCTGAAAACTTCCTGAAAATGTCTGATTTCTGAATTTCTGGAAACTTTTACTTCTCTACAGTTTTCTTTTTTGCATAGCTTGGCGGAAGTTCGATCTGCTTGGTAGGCTTCCCCACCGCCCCTTTAAGGTCATCTCCTCTTAGAAAGACACACTTCGCATGGCTCACTGACAGAGTTAACAGTCCGGTTGCTGATACTGGCGTTCAGCGGACTGGCCGCTCAAATCTCCAACTACGACTGGTCTCTATCTTAGTTGAATGAGAATCTGTCTGAACGCTTTGGTGGAATACGCTGGGACACACTGCTAGCCTATAGCCTATAGCATAGCCCATGGGTTGCAGTTTACATGGCTGTAAAGCTGCATTTTCCTTCCGTCGGCTCCCTGTCATGGGCGCATGGGCATGGGCCTGGGTGAACCACCAAACACGAGGCAAACTTTCTGGCTGACAGCCGCAACTGCAAAATGTCTGCCGATCAAAATTGGTCTGGCTGGCAGCCGCGCAGAGCTCTCAATTGTTCGACATCACTGCTTTGCCGGATTTGCGCGCTTGGCCCTCTTCTTCGGCTGCGAGCTGTCCTCCCCTCCCTTTGGCTTCATGGTTTCTACGATGTCTTTCGCCACATCCTCCCCAAGGGCAGAAAGCAAGCCTTCGTTGTCGCCACGCTGTGCCCAAATATCAGACACAGCGCGGCGCAAGGAATCTCCCTTGCTGCCCACTTGCTTGATGGCTGGATCCAAAAACAGCGTTAGCCTTAGTGCGCCCCACGCAACTATGTGCACCTTCGCTTGCTCTTTCAAGTCTGTGGTCGCGCGCAGCTTCAAGCTCTTGCTACTCACCGACGACAAAGCTGCTTCAGCCTTGGCAAGCTTTTTCAAGGCCATCTTCACTTCGTTCCCTGGGGTGGCCTTTGAAAGCCATGGCTTCGAAAGTCGCGTTGACCTTGCTCCTCAAACTGTCCGCTGCTTGCTCGAACTCTAATTCGGCTTTCTCCTTCCGTGCGTTGAATGCCTGTTTCCATCCCCCGAGGGCTGCGGTTACAGCCGACAAGAAAGAAACGATTTGTCGCTGGCTGTCAGCCGTAGGTGGAAGCGCCGCATCCAACTTCACACGGGAGTCCTCTGCCTCGGTCAAGGCCTCTGCGTTCCTGAGCAATTCTTCAGACAGGTGCTCTTCGGGGAATGGTTCCTTGCGCAAAGCTTCGCACACTTCAGGAGCGGACCGCACGCAAGCTCCACCCAAGACCGCGCAAAGACAGGAGTGTCAGACAAGGCGCACACCTGCATGGTCACGTGTTTGAGCTCCCGCAACGTCTTGACTTTTTCTGCGAAGGCCTCGGGCTGACAGCCGGCCAGCCCCTCAGCAAGGCCGTCGAGGAGAGAAGACACAGCAGCTTGGAGAGTCGCAGCCTGCTGCCGATACATCTCGGGAGTTGCCTCTGCGCGCCGACGATGCTCCAAAAATGCAGTGATCGCCTGGCCCACAGTGATTGGCCAGGAGCGATCTTGTGTTTGCTGCATGCTCTTCAGGAACCTGGACATTGCGGCTGGCTTGCTCCAGCTTTGCCACCTCCTCCATCAGCCCAGCGTATTTTCTCAAGTCTTCGGCCCTGCTCCGCAGCGACTTCTGGAATGAACAGTCCCAGATGCCTCTGCGCAGCAAGGCTTCCTCCCTTTCATAAACTAATGCAAGGTTGACCAAGTTGCCTTTACAAACCTCCTATTCCCTTTTCCTCGCGCGTTTGCTTTGAGTGCAGGACGCTGCTGGCCTTTTCTTGGGCGGCATGGCGCGCTATGCTACCGAACAACGCCTATGGCGGGCTGAGTAAGCCAAGCAGCTCTGGGAGGCATACCGCGTCTGCTGGCGAACCCATATCACTGGCTGCCAGCCGCACAACCAAGCTAGATTTCCTAGTTTTTCTTCAGATCGGAGCCTGCCGCAGCAGAAAACGGTTTAATTGGATGATATCGTTTCAGGTTCGGCGGAAAGTCGGAAAGCGGAAAGTCGGCGGAAAGTCGGTTCGGCGGAAAGGCGGAAAGTCGGTTCGGCGGAAAGGCGGAAAGTCGGGGTGCTGCTAAAACTCAGTTAAGCGGCGCGGGGTGCTGCTAAAA